CTCCCTTTCCCTTCCCTTCCCTTCCCTTTCGATTTGCATTTGGTTCAGTCAGGCAAAGCATAAAGTGAGGACCTACTACGCACCAGGCATCATGCTGGGAGCTGGTGGGTACAATCTTAATTAAGAGCGTTGGATGCAAAGAGCCTGGGATGTGCAGTGGGTCATGTTGAACTCAGGTTCTGGCACTGCCCCAGTCCCTAACCCGTGACCCTGAGCACATCAGCTAGCCTCTTGAATTCTCAGTTTCCTACACTGTAAATCACGACAGCTCTTCATCTACTGTTAGTATCTAAAGGGCCTTACAAATTATAAAACTCTACATAAGTTACAGTTATAATCAAGAATTTGTTCCCACTCCTTAGAGGCCCCCCATCTGGAGGTGGGTGGAGGGGTCAGTACAGACCTTTATTTCAGCTATTCTGACCTAAATGGCCTCTTGGCCTAATGCCCTTCTTTTTCATTCCATTTATTTATTTATTTATCTGCAATTTTGCAGGATAGCTAGATTGCATTTCTCTAATTTACTGATGTAGGATTAGGTGAGTGTGGAAAAGAGAGAAAAGAATCATAAGGAAAAGTCGAAGCTGTAGGTGTTGAGTTAACCCAGGGAGAAAGCTACAACCCCTGCTGGCTTGGAATAGCCCTGTGACCTGCGGCCAGTCTCCCCGTGCCCTTCCCCTTAGCTGGAGGCAGCAGGGCCCCACTGACGGGTCAGTACCCCATCAGGATTCATTTTCTCACCAGGGAATTGCCCCTATCGCGAGTTATGTTACCTCAGTGGTCTAATTTTATCCTTTTGTCCTTTCATTTAATAGTAAATGTCTCTATGAAACCACTGCATGTAAAGAATCATGCTAGGCTCTGTGGTGGGTACAAAGTTCTACACAAGACTCAGCCCTGTCATTCAAAGACAAAAATAATTGCTGCCATTTATTGGAGACTAATGTGTACCAGGTACTATGCATATAATATTTCATTTGGCATATATTATTTTATTTCATATTCACAACAACCCTATTTGAAAAGTGTTATTTTTATCCCATTTTATCGTTGAGGAAACTGAGTTTATGTAACATGCCCAAGGTCACGTGGCAGTGATTGGCAAAGCTGGGGTTGTCACTCAGGAAAGACTGCTCCGGAGCAAAGCTCTAGCCTGTGTGCCATGTTGCTGCTCCTGCACGTGATCTGCTAAGAAACACATGTCAAATGCCTAATCACCACTCAAGGCAGCACTGCATAAATAGTGTAAGTGGGGTACAGGGCATGCCGAAGGAATGCAAAGAAATACTGGGGCAGGGTGGAGAGGCAGCGAAGGATGCACAGACAGGCACGTGAGAAAGGACCAAGTGCCTCTGGGCAGAGGAAGAGTGGGAAAGACAGACCACCCAGGTCATCATTCTTAGAGCCGGAGGTGTGGAATGATGGAGTGGAATACAAAAGAGATGGAGGGGGGATATGATTTGCTTCCAGGGTGATAATCATTAACCATATCTTCAGGGATGAAATGTTATGCCAAAGGGAGAGGGACACCCCAGAGGTCCTACAGGACTCAGGCTTCCCAGAAACAATATCCTGGGGTAAGAATTTTCAACCACAAACTGGTGAAGTGGTGAATCAACCTGCAGGCTGGAAGCAATTTAGGCCCATGCAGAGCCTTGACCCTGTGTCTCTTGATTCTGATGACCCAGCCCTGGCTTCCCAACACTGACTCTTTTTTCTGCCATCTCGTGCAGCTCTTGCAGGAGGCCACCATGAGCTCTCTCTGGTGCTCAGGGACTGGAGATGTCATTGAGGACTGGTGTCGATGTGACTCCACCGCCTTCGGAGCTGATGGACTCCCCACCTGTGCGCCTCTCCCACAGCCCGTGTACGGTTCCCTTTCTCAGCTTCTCGCATGTATGCCTCAGCATCACTCTGTAAACAAATACTGAGTGTCTGCTATTTGCAAAGCAATAAGCTGGGGCCCGGGGAACAGAAAGAAGAACATGACACAGTACCTGCCTTCATGGAGGTACTACTAGCAGAAGCAGACACATAATTTGTTATAGCAGAAGAAATGGTGTGAAAAGTGTTATAAGAGACATTTAAAGAAAGTCTGAAGAGATCAAGTCTGAGTTTGGCTTCACAGAGGAGGTGGCACTTGAACTTCTCCTTGAGGGTGGAGGACGTAGGACAGTGTGGATTGAAGGTAATAGGGGTAAAAGTGCTGCTGCAGCAGAGAAAGTTAGAGATCTGCAGTGAGAGCTTAACTAGACCAACAACGCAGCCACTCACCCAGCACTTACTGGTGCCAGGCACTGCGTGGGCCAGTTCGATGCTGTTATCAGCCCCTCTCCCCATTTGATAGATAAGGAAGTTGATTCAATGGATTGTATCATTTTTCCAGAGTAACAGAGCAGGAAGCAGAGCCATGGCTAACAGGACATGTTCTTAGCCACTTTAGTACAGCGAGGATAAAACTGAGAGATGATTTTGGGTAAAACCAACAGGGCTTGGTGGCTGACTATAGGGTGAGGAGGAAGGAAAGTTAAAAATGGACTTAAGGCTCATGACTCATGTGGCTGAGAAGATGCATAGGCCACAACTGAGAAAAGAAGCATTAAAAGATATGCAGGTTTGAGGGGAGCCCAGTTCTTTTTGGGCTAGCCTTGGAGTGGCTTCGCTCCAATGGCAGTTGCCAGATCAGAGGCTAAGATGGGATAGTTCTGTAGAGATGTTCGGTGGGCAGATAGGAAGACGGTCTGGAGCTCTGCAAAAATGTAAGCACGAGAGATAAGAAGATTTCAGTCAACCCCAAAGAAATGAGAGATGGAACCGCAGCTATGAGCAAGGATGCTCTGGAACAAGTATCACGTGGAAAGAGCAGAAGACTGGGGACGAACATTAGGGGCTGTGCATTTGAGAGGTCAAGAAGTGCCACGAAGGTGCCTGAGAATGAACATGTCCAATTTCTTTCCCGTCAGGGGAAGGCTAAACAGAGCTGCCAGGCTGAGGGGCTGGTGCCCCAGGCTGGAACCATCTTCGCCTATAATTATGGCATGGGAGTGAATCTACAGAAAGAGCATGTCTGATAAAGAGTGCTGGTAGGACAGGCTGGAAGGGCATGACCCCATGGGTTGGTAAGGCAAAGAAAGCCCAAAGTGAGGATCAGAACCTGCGGTAACTAGAAGGCTGAGCAAGCAGGAGCAAGGGACTGCGGGAGGAAAGCAGTGACAGAGAGGCTGCCCTCTGGCCGGCTCCATGGAGGTACGGGTGGACATCAGAGGGCCAGGACTGGGCAAGGAGAAACTGAGAAAGAGAACACAAGAGTGAGTATCATTACAAGCCAACGTCTTCTCTTTCCTACAGTCTTCCTCCTCTGTGTAGGTGGTTTTAGAAACGCCAGCCATTGGCTTCTTGCTCTTTACAGTCATGACTTGAACCTCTCAAGTTAAAAGAGGATCAAGCTCATTATTTAAAAAGTCCTTTCAGGGCTGGCCCGGTGGCGCACTGCTACAGTGCACCACTTGGGAGCACGGTGGCGCTCCCGCCGAGGGTTCGGATCCCACATACAGACCGGTTCCCGCTCACTGGCTGAGCGAGGTGCGGGAGCAACACCGAGGGTTGCGATCCCGTTGCCGGTCCCGGTCTGGTACGGGCGCGACACTGAGGGTTGTGATCCGTTGCCGGACACGGAAAAAGAAAAAAAAAAAAAAAAAAAAAAAAAAAAAAAAAGTCCTTTCATTTAGTAGAAAGGGAGCCACTGGAAGAATTTGGTGCTGGTAGACGGATTCACCGGATAAGAAAGCTACCTTTGAAACATAGCACTGAAGCCACCAAACAGTTATCAGATGGACACAAGATCCAGCCATTATGTCGTAGGGTTGAATTTGTCTCTTACATCTGCGTGTACTAAACGTCATAGCTAGAGATCAAGTTGGACTAAATTTTATAAACAGGAAACATCCATTAAGGACTTCACTTTTCTTGTCAACTCTGATCACTTCTTTCAGTAGCAGACCTTAGTTTCTTGCATTTTAATTGGTAGATGGGAACAGAAATGCACTCTAATTTTACACAAGTTCATGTAAATCTCACACACTTCTACTTCCCAGAAGAGGCCTCTTTTAATCCATATTTTCACAGAATTTGAGTTCTCAGAAAGGCTTAGTTACTCACTTAAGCTTCCTAATGCTTTTTCTTCAAAATAGCACTCTGCATATGACTCTAATTAATGAATTTGTCAATATCCACAATGTCTTGAGTCTATTCCATCTTTAATGTCATATGTAAACTATTCACTTCATAGGAAGCCACTAGCAGAAGAACATGTGTTTTGTATTATTTTCCCACTAAATGAATTCCTTATTATTGCTCCCACAGCCTCCCGTGATTTCTTGTTGAAGTTCTTATCACACGTTATTATAATCACATGTATATTTTTATTACCCACTAAGCTCCATAAAAAAAGGGGCTGGAGTGGGCTTGTGCTCTGCTGCTTTCCCGGCACCAAGCACATACTCACAAGTAACGGGTGCTTCATAAACATTTGCTGAATTGAAATTGAACATTGCAAATGGTTTGGTGTGATCCATCCACAGTATCTTGCCCAGTGATCCTTGAGACCAATGACAGGCACCTGTGAGCTGAATGGAGGGTAAGGAGGGCCAGGATTTTGGATTGCCGTGAGATATGGGAACTAAGAACAGGGTGAATGGCAGGGATCTTTGTAAAGGAGGGAGGCTGGAATGAGCAAGAATTGGGAAAATTCCCAGAATCCAGTGGTCTAGGAAGAAACAAGGAATTGGAAGCAGGAGGGAAACCTGAGACACATACATGAAGTCAGAACAAGGCAGCGAATTGAAACCACTTGGACAATCAGGAGATCCATACCAGTGAATGTCAATAATGATTATTGAATCTCTACAAGGTACAAAGAGGTATGAGTTGGCAAGGCATGACAGCGGTCACAATGGACAACTTGTAAAGAATGAGGAGACTATGAATTTGGAAAAGCAAGGAAAGACTGAATTGGGGAACTAGGATATTTAAAGACATCCAGGAGCAAAGGCAGAAACTGAAATCAGAACCTGAGCAAGCAGGCATAGGACATCACCCCAAGAAGAACTTGACGTGTGGCCAACTTTCTCTTTCCCAGTAATGACATCTGTGAGTGTTACTTCCAAACTGAGCCTGTCCCAAGGCCCAGCCAGCCGATGGCCTGGGGAACAGATACATTAGTAACCCATAGCAAGAAGGAAAGCCACAGTTGCCCCCACCAGCAGGGCAGGTTCTGACAATGTTATGGAAACTTAGCTAATTGTGGTTTTATTAATGCAGGCTTCTCCTGGACACCACCTTCAATGGGTTTTAAGATGGGCATCACACATACATTCTCTTAATATTTTTCAAGAGCAAATCCAGAAATTGTAATATTTTTAAGCTATATACAGTAGTACTACCCCAAAAGCCCTATCCCCTGAACCTTGCAACATGCAGACATTCATTCATCTTTGACTCATCTACTTATTTATTTATTTACAAATATTGGTTGAATTCCTAATCTGTAATAGGCACTTAGATGCATAAAACATAAACCTCAGGGGTCCTCAGAAACCTTGCTCCCTAGTGAAAGAGACCATCCCTCAAAGAGATCATTTTAGTAGTTGGTTAAGAAAGAAGAGTTTACAATGTAACCATTAGGAAGGTGGCCAGTGACCAGTGCAGGTCTCAGCTGGGTCCCCATTTCATGTTTCTTCCTGTCTATACTCAGGCTGAGACTCTCCACAGTTCACGAGCCCAGCAGCACCCTCGTGGTCCTGGAGTGGGAGCACTCAGAGCCACCAATCGGGGTGCAGATTGTAGATTACCTCATCCGTCAAGAAAAAGTCACTGACAGGATGGACCACTCCAAAGTGGAAACAGGTGAGCATCCCCCACTTCATGGGCAAGTCTTGATCCAAGGTGGTAAAAATAAAACAAAAGAAAAATGCCCTGCCTCGTGACTCTGCTCCAGGTCCCCAGTATCCCAGGGCAGTGAAGGAGGAGCAGGGGGCAAAGCAGCTACTGTCTCTTCCGAGCAGCAGCCATCTTCTCCATTTAAGAGTTTTTGCATGGTGAGCATCTGACAAAGTCTTGTTTTGATTTTGCTTTTCTTTTTGTTTATAAAAGAGGTGTCCATTTCATTGCCTCTAGGCACACTTACAAAGAAACAACAATACAGTACACTAGTTATCCTAGTCCACAATTAGGAAACAATTCTCTGCTAACCACTGCCATGATTACAGAAAAAAAAAAAAAAAAAGATTCCTTTGCTAATAACCCCCCTCCAGGCAAAAGCATGTGCATGCAAACTGATGAGCTTGTACTAAAGCAAACTTGGCTTTTGTCAGGTCTAGCCAGAACAGGGAAGACTTAAAGAGGTAGAAACCCACCTGAAAAATGTCCCAAGCCTTAGTACTTCATTGTCTACACATAGGGAAAGGTCAACATAAACAATCCCTAAAACTTAACGCATGACATGTGGTCATCAACAAGGTGGTGACGACCATAATCTAATTCAGGGTAAATAGCTTCTGGTGGGCTTATCACGAGGCTTGGCAACATAGGCAGCTGTCTTCAGGCACAGGTAGCTGTCTACTCCTTCTGAGCCCCTTGCTGTGATGTACACAGGTATCACTAAGGCAGGGCAGTGACCAGTGACCAGAACAGCCGTTCTCTGTCCATGCCAAGAACATTTCACAAAAGAGGTCACATCTTGCCTTAGTCGTTTCTCAACTCTCTCTGGACAAAATGGCTCTATATTGATTGGTTAAATATGAAATAGTCAGGAAAGACTATTCCTTCCTTCTAGGTCTCCTTCTTCTACTAGGAATTTAAGAAGACCCAGTAATTTTAATGCTATGTTCTCTTTGAGTGGATTCCACGTCCTCCATGTTCGGCCATGGCTGTTTCTAATGCCTTTTCCCTTCCTTCCCCTCTGCCCAGAAACGGTGCTGAGCTTTGTGGACGACATCATCTCTGGAGCAAAGTCTCCTTGTGCCATGCCAGCTCAGGTGCCAGACAGGCAGCTCACCACCATCTCCCTCATCATACGGTGCCTGGAACCTGACACCATTTACATGTGAGTGTCACACACCTGCCTAGTATCACACACCAGCCTGCCCAAGGCTTTTCACTGGTTCCGTTTTGCTCCTTGAGTTCCTTTAGAGACTTGGCAGACTTTGAGTCTCTGAAGTCTTATCCCAATCTGCACTAGAGAGAGCCTGCTTGAGTGCTCAGGCAGAGTGGAGAGAATCTAGAAAGATAATGTTCTCCCATCTCTTAAGGAGTTTACAACATAGAAAAGAAATATATAAATGACTAACTCTAACGTAAGGCAGAGTGAAACAGATGTGAGACAGAGCAAGGAACGGGTTGTGGAAAAGAAAGAAGAGATTAGGGCCAGCCCGGTGGCGCACTCGGTAGAGTGTGGCACTTGGGAGTGCGGCGGCGCTCCCGCCGAGGGTTCCGATCCCATATAGAGACCGGTCTGCGCAGTGCGGGCGCGACACCGAGGGTTGCGATCCCGTTACCGGTCGCGGTACGGGCGTGACACCGAGGGTTGTGATCCTGTTACCAGTCATGAAAAAAGACAAAAAAACGAAAAAAAAAAAAAAGAAAGAAGAGATTAATTCTACGTAGAGTGGGTGTCATCTAACCTGGGCTGTGTAGAATTTCAGTAGGTAGAGTGATACTGGAAGAGGCACACCAGGCTCAGGGAACAGCAGGGTCGAAGGTGAGGGAGCAGAAGGAAAGTAGCAAGTAGTCCAGGAGGGCTGAAGCGGGCAGTGAGCACAAGTCCAAGGGAATAGAAGAAAGTGGGACTGGGAAAACGGTGCATGCTACAGGTCAGAGGAGATTTTTTTTTTTTTTTTTTTTTTTTTTTTTAACAAAGGGAGTAGAATACCAAGAACTCTGCTTTAGAAAGCTAGCTCTGGTGGCGCTGAAATAATTTATAGAGGTTAGAAATGGTCAGCATTTTTCTTCAAAGAAAACACAATGAACTATATCATGGCACTTGGAATAATCCCATTCTTTCTGTGAACTCTTTCCCATTTCTCTCTGTGCTCTGGGAACAACTGTAAAATATTTGTGAAGCAGAAACATCAAAGATGCCAAAAGAGGAGAGAAAGTGATAGAATCTAAGTCATGATGGAAAAATCTGGGGGCTAAGGCAGAATTCAGAGTGATGGAGTTCTGGGACCTTTTGACCCCATTGGTATGAAAAACATTTAACAGTTTACAGATGAGGTCACAAGAATAAAGTCAAGGTTTCCAGAGTAAATCATTTCCATTTCCACAGTTAAAGAGTTCAAAGACGAAAAGCACTAGAAATTTGAGTGGCATTGATTGCAAGATGAATTTAGATGCTCAGGCTGAATAGTGTCAGTATAGGAGCAAGAAATGTAAGCATGGGCCATGCATGATGAAAGTAAGACACACGTAACACTCTAGATGATTTGGAAAGTATATATAGACATAGATTATAGTACTAAGACCAAGCAATGTTAGTCTACTTTTTGAGTGATGCCACAATGCCATGATCCTCATCAGCTCTCCTGCTATTGGGAAGTTGTGGCCCTTTGTGGAAGAGAAGCAGACAAAAGAAACAAAGATTTGAGGGTGCAGATCATCTAACCTACTATAAAACATCTCAAACTCATTGCAACTTGAATTATCATTTATAATAAGGGCTCAGTAATTCATGTCACTACATCACAACTGTTAATTAAGAATTTCAAAGTTCTTATTGGAAGAGACTGGCATGGTTGCGTGAGGGGGGCCAGCCATTACCCACCCTGGGACCCGCCTCAGGTTGGCCTGATTTGGCTACGTTTCCTGATCAAAGACCTGGGGTCAATACATTCTCCCACTCCTGCTGTCCTCGGTGATTGGCCAGCATCACCCTCCTATGTCTTGTAAAACACAAACTTTTTCGGTCAACGTTGATTATTGAAGAAGTTGGAGACAATGCACAGGGCTAAGGAAGAAACAACCAGGCTCCACTAGGTGGCGCTGCAGATCACACGAAGAGGCGACATGGGAGGGTCTGGGAAGGACATTCCACTCCGGAAGGGTTAGAAGGATCAAGTGAAGCCTGTGCTGCTGCTGTTCCTGGAAATAGGGAGAGAGCCCTGGATTGAGAGTTGAGAGTGCATGGGCCCGAGCCAGGTTTCATTTCTAAATATCAAGTGACTGTAAGCAAGGCACTTAAACTTGGTGCAACTAAATTTCCTTCTCTATGAAATGCGAGGAAGGCAGCCTTCATCTCTGGAGAGCTGAGCATGTGTGAGTGCTTTACACTGAGTGTCTCCGGGAATCCCACGCAACTCTGTGAAACTGTTTCCACTTATAGTGGAAAAGCTGAGATTCATACACTAGTTGTCTGGGGTCTTCACACACTGCATCTTACTCCCAGCCTGCCAGGTTCCCTGTGAGGCTGTGGGAGCATGGCCTTACCACCTCACAGTAGCGCACAGAGCTGGCTGTCAGCCTGGGTCCACACAGGGAGACCTGCACCTCAGCTTTTCTAGCTTCCTTGTCAGCCTGTGGGTTTTACTTAGTGCATTTTTAAAACATTATTTTGAGAAGGGCCCATGACAGAAAAACAGTTACAAGCCCCTAGTTGAAAGGGATCCTCAAGAGTGTCTGGTCCAACATCTTCATTTTACAGTTGAGGAAACTGAGGCCAGAGTGGGGAGGAGACTCACTGGCCTTCTGGCCCACTGCTCCTCATCAAAACACATGCTCACAAGACAGCCACTGTCTTTCTGTGCATGGGACAGCACACAGGTAATTCAGGAAAAAAGGGAGCTGGCTGGGGTGGGTCAGCAGAAAGCACCCTGCCTGGAGGGGGACAGTGGAAAGACACAGACAGAGCAGCCAGCCCTTGACAGGAGGCTACGGATCCTCCGTGCACACCAAGTCAGGCCGTTAAGACCCAGCCCTAGAGCCAGAGCTGGGCTGTGTGGTTCCCACGCACGCAGGCCCCCACCAGGGTCATCACCACGTCTCTGACAACGAGCTGAGCAATCCTAGCTGGGCGGTGCAAGGCGCCCAGGAGCTTTGGACGAAGCACTAAATGTACTTATTCATGAGCCCTCTGGATTGGCAGCAGGGCTTATCTCTTCTGTCCAGTAATTCCAAGTAACCTTCTTACTGTCCTAGGAATATTCCATGGTGGGAACTATACTGTTAACAATAAGCAGAGAAGGCCTTCCAGAAATGACTGCACGTGGCATTTCCACATGAAAATGGGTAAAATGCTCCCTGGGCCTTGACAGTACAATGAGCTGGCCACTCTTTCAGTGTCCCTCCAGGACCAAGGGAGCCGACACTGCTGAGGAAGGGCTCTTGGGTCAAGCTCTTCTTTGCTTAGAAGATTATACAAGCATTTTCTTTCCTAATACCTATATCTGCTTCATATTAAAGAGGAAATATGCTATTAAAGATGGTAAGAGCTTAGGAACCTAAATTTTACACTAATTTCCCAGTCTGAATAATGCAAAAGTTCATATCAGCACAGACATTTTTGTCCCGGCTCAGGATCCAACAGAGCTTAGCTGAAACTTAGAGCAAGGCAGGCCTCAAAGCAGAGCTGCCTGGAGGAGTGGGATAAGCTCTGGGGGATGGAGGTGGGTGTTGACTGAGAGAGAGGGTCCATCTGACAGCCAGGTGGCACCTGAGGCTTAGGACATTGCCCATCATGGTCCAGGGAAACTGCTAGAAATTAAGGGTCCAGGAATAAATAACAGTGGGTTACAAAAGGCAGCTGGAACCCAGCCATAGACAGCCTAGGGCAGGCGACCCTTTAACATACCAGCAGGCAGCATCACGTAGCCCATCAGTGGGAACCAGACTGCAGCCCTGACCTGGAGGTCCAAGGCCATGCTCAGGGCCCTGGAAGGCAGACGGGAGAAGGCATAGCAGGCCAATCTCGCAGGGGCTGGGGCACCAGACAGGTTGGGTCTTGGCAGTGGAAACCAGGGTGGGGACTCAGATGCACAATGAGGGAGGGCGGGTGCTGAAGGGAGAGGGAGAGAGCCAACTGTGAGAACCAGGCACAGGGCCAGGCCCGTGCCCCAGCCCAGTGACCTCGCCATCCCCAGAGCATTGGCACAGGCAGAAAAGGGGCTCCCCTCTCCTGACTCTGCTGAGAACTGACTGTCAGAATTTCAATCAGGGGAGAGTCTACAACAAAGATCAAGTGACCCCACCTCTGGCCAGGAGATGGATGTCCTACACACCAGGGGCCCTGTGTCAGGACGTCCAGTGAGAGAAGGAGGTTCACTCGGATCCCTAGAGGGCAGTCCTATTGAGGTTTGCAGGATGCTGTAAATCTTTGGGCTTTCTTGCTTCCTACTCTCTGAAGGGACAAGGGTATAAGGGAGAATTTTGCCCCATGCAAGAATTCCAGACCACAAGGAGCAAGTCTGAAATTGCCCTGTGGTGCCTCTGCGCCCATCCCTGAGAGCCTGAGCTTAAGGTGGTCTATAGCAGGTGAGCAGAGGAGAGAGCTGGTACCTCACCTGATCCTGGGTTGAGGGACAGGATTCAGAAACAGAGCTGGTTCCATACAGGGCTGATCGAATCACTGGTGCAGGGTTTGGTGGCCTCAGTTGGATTCTAGAAACTGTACCAAGAAGCTGATGAGGTTTATGGGGCCAAATGAGGGAGAATTCTGTAGCTGCCATGGCTAGGGCTGCCCCGAGAAGCTGTGTGGGGCTGGGTACAAGGGCCCACGCAGACCTGGGAGGACAGAGATGCAGGGAGAGAACAGGGGCTGGACCCTGGGTTTTAGATCAGAGTCAGGGTGGGGTTTAGAACTAAGCAAGACTGTTGGTCAGAATGCAGGAGCAGGACATGAGGCAGAGGTGGGGGGACGGACTGAGCCCCGCTGTGCAGATGTGCAGAGGTGAGGGCTGAGCCCTTGGTCCTGGTCTGACAGGGAGGAGGCCATGGAGCCCTGTGGGAAGCCAGCAGCTGTGGCCTGGCTGCCACGTCCTGAACCTAGGCAGGTCACCCCATCCTGAGTCCACCCGGTCAGGGTTCCTGGTGGGATGGAACCTGCCTGCGTGAGGACTGGGGGAAGGTAGAGGGAGGACAAATGACATCTCAAGATGCACAGGTTCTCACACTGACCATTCTCTGGGCTTCTTTGTGGGGAGGGAATGGTGGACAGAAGTTGTCTTTTTTCTGTTGAGAGAAACACACGTTTCTTGGCAGAACAATAGGGCAACATTGATTTCTTTTCTGTTTCACCAGTTCAGATGTTTCAGGCCAGGCTGACATTTACCTGGGCCACTCCGTCTTAGGGCATTTCCCTTCCTTTCACCTCTCTTCCTCCCTGCAGCTCTGCCAAGAGGAAAGAAAATCCATGTTTGCGGATAAATGCAGCCTCCTGTAGTGACACAGTAAGAGAAGGGGTGAGAAAGCCAGCATTGCTGGTTTTCTGTGGACGGCCCACTAGGTTATCAGAGGCCCTGGGTGCAGACGCCAGAGCTCATGTTCATGGGTGTGTGCAAATTCCCCTCTGAGCAGCAGCAGCCGAAGCTTCTCTGTTTCCTCTCCATCCAGCTCTGTTGCCCAAAAGGGAAAGTTTATGTTCAGCCTTTAATAAACAGATTTTCATCCTCTTCCTGGGAGGGCTCTCAGAACTGTGTCTTCACAGCGTTGGGGGATTGCTATGTTTCCTCTCTGGATTCGTGTCCTCAATGGGGAGCATTTCGGTGGGACAGATGAGCTACCTGTGGGAATGAAGTGTCCAGCCATAGGCAGAACAAGACCCTCCACTCCAGCTGTTTTGCTTCTGACTTGAAAGAGCGAAACTGTCCTCAGTCCTTTGCATAAAGGTGTCAACTGGGCACAGCACAGAACAGAACTAATATGATTTATGCAGTGTCATAAATCACCTAGTGTTCCAGGTCTTTCGTACGTTATCTCATTTCATCCTCACAATGGCTTACAAGTAGTCATGTTTTCATCTCTGTTCCACAGATAAGGGAAAATAAAGCTCACAGGAGTTAACTAAAACCACATGGCTTCAGACCCACCTTCTGACCATCTGTTTCCAAAGGGATATACTCTTGCCCTCAGCTCAGTGGCTGTCAGAATTTCACTGGCACAAGAATCATCTGGAAGGGTGGTAAAGCACAGGTTTCTGGTCCCAATCCCTGGCATTTCTGATTCAGTAGGTCTGAGGTAGAGCCTAAGAATTTTCACTGCTCACAAGTTCCCAGGGGACAGTGAAGTTTCTGTTCGAGGGACCTCACTTGGAGAACAAATACACTGTGCCATGATACTTTCTATCTAACAATATGCCCAAGTCACCCTAGGAAGCAGAGAGAGGCTCTAGGCTGCACATTTTCTGAGCAGGGTGGTGGCTGTACATGTGCCTCAGGATGACAAGAGCAGCCAGGGCCATGACCCACCCATTCAGGCAAAGCTGGGCTGTCAGCCCAGGCTGCAGAGCCAGGCCCCAGCCATGTTCTCTCTGATAATAATGCCATCCCACCCCCCTGCCAGGTTCACCCTGTGGGGAGTGGACAACACAGGACGGCGCTCCAGGCCAAGTGACGTGATCGTGAAGACCCCCTGCCCCGTGGTGGATGATGTCAAAGCCCAAGGTAAGAGACACCGAGGTTAGCAGAGTCTGGAAAGGGATGCCCCAGGGGTCTCCCCTTTGCCATGAGGAAAGAGGGACCAAGGAAGTCGAATGGAACAACCTGGAGTTCAGCAGGAAAAGAGAAGAATTCAAGGCCAGTGTCGGAACATCACCTTTCAGGAAATACTCCCAGCCTCTGTCCTCTGGAAGAGTCCTCGTTGTGTTCCATTATTCCATAGTCCATAAGTCAGCGAGCCAGTAGGAGACACCAATGCAGACCTCTAGCATACATGGTCGTATTCCAGGTGCTTAGGAACATGGTGAAGTACCTGTGACCTCTGCCCTCAGGATGCTGATGGCGTCACTTCCTCTCTTTATAGGTGCTGGTACATCTAAAAGGCTGTCTTGAATTAAAGCATAGCAAGGCTGAAGATCTGGAATTAATTTCTATATCACTCCCTCCCTAGCAAAGAAGCATCAAAATCATTAGTTCCATATTTTGGAGTTACCAGTACTTTGGTAAAGAATTCCCCCACCCACCACCACCTGGATTGGCCCTTGCTAATTAGGAAGAGTTTGTCCTCAGTCAGTATCCACTGCCCAAAAAGCTCACCTCTTCCTCATGATGCCCTTTGGCTGGTCTTGACACTGCCTCCTGCTCTAAGGATTTCACATCCCCTCCACAGCTAGAATTTTTCCATCCTGGTCAACACTTCTACAGGGCTCCAGCACTAATTAAAGTGATCCGATCCACCACCAATATCTGTTCAGTAGGACTGAACTGATAGCATTTGCATATTAACAGAAACATCAACTGATGCTGGAAGTTTAGGTTGTGCAAGTTTCAATAAGAGAAATATTGTGGCCAACATGATTTGCAGATACCCCTCAAATCACCTTATGTGTGGCTCCTGACTCCACTTGTGTCACATTGACCAGGAGGAACACAATCCCAGCATGTCCAAGGGCTGACAGCATGATGATGCATGATCACAGGGGAAAGAGTGATCTAGACCTACTTTAATTAAAACCACTGATACTGTAGCACTGTACAACTTCTGAAAAGATTTTCACACTTAATCTGCATGGCGTGTTAAAGTCACAGCTATTTTCAACACAGACATCTGATCATATCCAGGCTCTTTCTTGAAACTCGTTAATAATTGCCATTCATCTTGTGACAAAAATATTTAACAGGATTATCAGGACTGAAATGGAGTGGCCCCCGCCCACTTCTCTTGTACCTTTTTACCCACTCCTTCGGTCAATTTCTGCACTCCAGCCTCACTGCCTTCCTCAGTTTCCCCAACACTATCTACACTTCTACCACGGGACCTTTGCACATCTTGGTCCTGTTACCTAGAATGCTCTTCATCCTCACCTTTTCCAACTGATTAACTCCTCTCAGCTGCAGATCTCAGATCAAGTGTCTATTCCTCAGGGAAAAAGGGTCAGGAGCCATTGTCCTCACAGTAGTACCATGTTTCTTTCCTTTACAACATTCATCTCAGTTTGTTTTTGTAATGATGTGTTCAAAGTCTGTCTACCTCATCAGACAGTGAGCTCCTTGAGAGCAGGTGCCTGGTCTCTTTTTATCTGCTATTAGGTCCCTAACACCTGGAAGGCAGCATGGTTGACTTGACCGTTTACAGAAGAACTTAGGCAACAGTCCAGGTTTGAATTCTCCTCCCTGTCTAACTGTTTGACCTTGAGCAGGTTAATCCATCCCATGCCTTGGTTTACTCATCTGTAAAATGGGGGAAGGGGAGAGGAAATAATAGTACCCTAGCTAATAAGGTTCAAGTGAAAATTAAATGAGTTTATTTAAAATACTAGAAAAGCAAAAACTAATAAACAGTGCCTGTCACGGAGTAAACATTCAGTAAATGTAAACTATCACTGTTAACAATAATCAAGCATAGAGCCTGCCCTCTAACATAACTCAGTAAGTATTTACTGAATGAATAGAGTATTGCCCCATTTTATAGATGTGGAGATTGAGATTCAGAGTAGAGTAAGAGGTGGCCAAGGTCACAAAGCATCTCACAGAACTAGCCCTCTGACTCATTATTTGACACCATTCCCCATTCGTCTACGATGTTACCATTAGATATTTAGAGGGCTATTATGTAAAAGACTGAAAACTTTTTCTTTGCCTCTGAATACTGAAGAAAAGTCTTACACTGAAAAAGAATGTTCAAGTTAGATATAAAAATAATTCTCCCTTTCAGGAGTCTTAGTGACCCCTGGGGCATTATGGTAGAATGGCGATCTTTATGTGGGAGACAGATGTGTTTTTCTGGGTGAGAGCTGCTGGAGGATAGGGTCCAACTTCTGAAGGCATCTGCGGTTCCTCGATGATGAAAGCAGTCTGGGGTGGAAACCCCCCAGATGAGAGACTGTCTGGAGAGGACCCGCGACCCCTTATTTCATCTTCTGCTGATTTCTCACCCTCAGCCAGAGAGAAGCAGGTGACGAGACGGTAGATTTCTCCTGTGTTGGAGAGTTTGCTGGCGTCCTTGTAGGTAGCAGGATCCACCTTGGATTTGCTTGCTGAGTGGGCACCAGGCTGGTGGGACATCAGGAAAGTGATTAGCAGGTGGCTACCTGCAGGGATGGATGGATAGAAAGCAGCTCTAGAATAAAGAGGGGCCAGTGTGGGGAGGTTTGCCAGGGACAGACCACTACACTGTTTTCTCTGTAGGGCCCCTTTGGGTCAGCTCTAGACTCACAGAGTGTATCAAGATGTTCTCTGCTGGCTTGAGCTTCCTGACAGAGGAGACCTTCTGAAATCCCAGCAGACCAGCTGGGAGCACAAGAGCCAATTTAGTGCTGAGAGAATGGAATCACACTTCCAGGTCCTGTTATCCTTCATCTGGGAAGGAGTCCTGCACAGGACAAATCTGCAGATTAATGAGTTAGACTAATTGAGGGTATCCGTGCAAATTAACACAGTTCTAGCAGTTCTACCACAAAACCATATGCTTTTCCTCCCTAAAACCACCAGATGGTGACCAGAAATTTAATTCACTTGGGTCTGAGTTTAAATCTAATAACAAATGGGAATTGCCTTTTATGTGACCCAGAGCATGACTTCAGCTCCTGATTTCCTAGATGAAAGCCAGACTCTGTCCCTTCTATGAACATTTTTCCTAAACTAGACACTTTCTATGAAGAATTTTACTACGTCATGGCATAGAGCTCCTGTGTAAGTTTCTACCAGAGCTTTATTGGGACCAGCCTTTCACCAGTAGGCTCAAGCGCATGTCAGGAAGAAGATCAGCCCTCTTGGCCAGACTCCAGGTTAAGAGGTGGCCTTTTGAGAGCTCTTCCTGAAGCTTCGCTAAGGCAAGGCCAGTCCTCACCCACCACTCCCTTAACACCCCACCTCCCTCCCCGCTGCCAAAGGTAAATACCCATTTCTTTATTTGCTCCGTCCACAGCCATTTAACGAGCTCTGGTATTCCATATTAAAGAAACAAAAATAATTAGACTTAGAATCTATGTTCAAGAATTTTATAATCATATTCCATAATTTTATTAATTTATCCAGAAAATGTTAAGCCCTCACAAAACACCTGTCCTAGGTATTAGGAGCAAGACCCCTTGCCTCATGGAGCTTATATTTTAGTAGGGGGTGACAGACAACAACAAAAAATAGTAAAATAAAAAATATTTCAGATGATAATATCTATTATAGAGATAAATAAGCAGGGATATGGGATAGAAAGTGCAGAGAGTAGAGTTTTAACTAGAGTGGTTTGGGGAAAAAGTAAAGGAGGAAGCCACCCGGAGATCTGGGGGAAGATCCTTCCAGATAGAGAAGCAGCAGTACAGAGATTCTTGGCATATTTGAAGAAGAGAAGGTGCGGGTGGGAGGGGGAGGAGCAGGGAGGAGCTCATCAGATTAGGGAACTGGACTCTGCATGGAATTGGGTTGGGAAGCCCTGACACCTTGAGCAGAAGGATGACATGAGGTGTCTTAAAGTCTGATAGATGATTCTGACTGCTGTGTAGAGAACAGATTCCCAGTAGGGGGTCTAAGGTGGAAGTGGGGGGACCACTTAGCAGGCTCTGGCAATTCAGAGGAGAGATGATGCTGTTTTAGACTAGTGTGATAGTAGCAGAGGTGGTGAGAGGTGGTTCAATTCTAAATTGTCTTGATGGTAGAACCAAAAAGATTTGCCAGTGGATTGGATTGAATGAAAGAAGATTCGTGTCAGTCTTACTGTGTCTTGTGAAAAGTCACGCACAGAGGCATGGACAGAATGCTGAGGGGACACGAGCCAGCTCGCCTGGTTCAATGACTTGTGGTTTTTCCCTGGAAGACCCCACAGCCTAGATAGGCAGAGAAAAGGCAGAAGAGGGAGCAAGCTAGTAGAGGGTACCTGCAATGGGCCGTGGGGATTAGGTCAGGTAGAGAAGGAAACTAACACAGGGCTGATGTCTGGAGTGAATGCAGGAGCTGCAGGGCTTAGGTCTCCATCACTGAAGAACAGATTTAGTAGTAGGAGGAAATACGGAAGCTGCGAAAGGAGGTTTTGTTCACAGTATGTGACATTAAGATTTATATTTCAAGGGTGGAGCTGTTCTCAGGGTTGGTGATTGGCTTTTGGTGGTTGGAGGTCTCTAGACTTAAAGAGGCCTTTCACTTGGGGCGTGAAGTCACCCACAAAGGGAATGAAGTGGAGAAGATGAACCAGAAGCCAGATTCTTCCCATGGATATAGAAGAGTGGTCAGGAAATGAGTAGGAAGAAATAAGAAAAGGCAGGTGAGTTTTGAAAGTGGAGAGGTTTTTATATATATGAGGGGACTTCATGCAAAAAATGGAATTAAAAGATCACATGAATCTTTCCAAGAATTTTTTTAAGTCCCCTCAAATATAGAGAGAAAAGTGAATATTTGCAAGTGGCCACAAAAGGCTGGGAGCCTGCTCACCTCTGGGGCATGGGAGGAGGATTCCCCTGTCCTGGAGAAGGCTTCGGCCAACACAGGGATGTGGAGGGGAGAAACCATGTGTGCCCAGGTCAAGGGGGAAGGGACAGTTGTTTGTCATGTAAAAGTGCTGGTCCCAGAGGATGTAAGAAAAGTTTGGAGAGTATAAGTTAGTGTGAACAGTGGTCCTCAAGGTGTGGTCCCCAAACCAGCAGCATCACCATCACCTTGGAACTTGTTAGAAATGCACATTCTCAGGCTCCATCTGAGACCTCCTGAGTCAGGAACGCCAGTGAGAGCCGCAGTCTGTGTTTCAGCAGGCCTTGCAGGTGACTCCGATGCACACGCGCTTGAGAACCCTGGTGTGGACGCAGCCCAGAGCGCTGGGGAGCGGGGAGGAGGGAGGTATACAGCGGTGGGCGTGAGGGAATGCCCCGCCATGCGGACAGAGCCCAGAGGGACAGAGGCAGAAGGCCAGCTGGGATTCGTGGTCTCGGGTGACCGTATGGAATTGCACCATCAGTGACTTCAGCGTGGGGCAGGCCAAGGTGGCAGACAGCCCCAAGGAATAGTGAAAGTGGTAAATTAGGACCTCTGTTCAGGGGACTTTTGCTATGGTGCCAAGGAAATCGTGAGTGGAAGGCAGAGGCTTCCCAGGACTCTGATTTCATAGTAAAAAGAGCAGTCACCACTGGGGAGTGAGAAAGCTCACTTCTTCCCTGGGGTCACTCCTCTCGTTTAAATCAGACTGTTTTCCCCAGTCTTTTGGACTCCTGTGTTCCTCTCTCTCTCTCTCTCTCTCTCTCTCTCTCAGCATTGGGGAAAACACGATCTAGTAAAGAACTGGTAATAATAATACTACTAATATCTATTGTCGTCTTAATCTCCCCCATTCACCCATTCCAGACACTCTGGCCTATTGTTCTCAAATATGCTGCCCGCTCTGGGCTGGGAGCCTTTGTGCTGGCATCGCCTGTCCTGGCACACCCTTCCCAGATATCCCCCCAGCTCATTCCCTCCCCTCCTCCAAGTCTGGCCTGTTCAATGAGACCTACAAAACCACCCTGTTTAAAATCACAATGCCTCCACTCAGCATTCCCAAACTTCCTTCTCCTGTTTTATTTTTCTCCACTTTCTAACACACTGTATTTTACTTATTTATTATGTTTATTGCTTACCTGACTCTCTCCTACCACTACCATAGGTGCCAAACAGTGAGGATTTTTGTCAGATTCTCTCACTGATATAGCCCAAGTACCTAGAAAAATGTTGGGCACATAGTAAGCACTTGATAAAAATTTTATTGAATGAATGAATGTCAGCTTACTTTATCCAGACATTGTGCTAAAGAAAGGTTTTACATTTAATATTACTTTTATTCCCATCATAATCTCTGAAGGTGTATATTATGAATCATCATTGAACAGACAAGGAAACTAAGACCCAGAGAGGCTAAGTAACTTGTCCAAGGCCACACAGCTAGTGTAGTGGAGCTCAACTGCATTTGATGTCATGGTGCTTGTTCTTAACCATACTCCTAGGTCTGAGGGCCTCGGCCCCATCCCTGTTAATTTGTTCTGCTGCCGACAGATCATGGTTTTCTTCTAGTGACTGAGTTTCCTTTTTTGTGATGAGGCTGTGTAGACAGACTGCTTGCCATCTTCTCACCTGCATTTTACCTGTTCCTGAACGTCGAGCATGTTAAAGTGAGGGAAGACAGACACCTGTCTTTGATAACTCAACACTTCTGTGAAGTTGAAAGCTGGGTATAATTATAACTAAAAATACCTACATTCATTTCCATTCTTTGAGTTAGTAAATTCTTGAGATGCTATGATGGCTAATGAAATAAATCTCTCAATTTTCTCTATGGAGATAGAAGGAGCCAGAAATACTCATTCTCTGGGAGCCTGGAGCATAGATCTTTCTAAATTTAGCACCGCATTTACTGATGTAGGCTCTCAAGCACAGCCAGGAGTTAGGTTGTCTCGGTTTTTGGATATCTGTGGAGGAACCTGGTCCAACCCCACATTAGCCTTTTCTAGGTGGGTATGACTATTGCGTTGAGAATGGCAAATAAGCCAGAAAACACCTTCTCAGCCATTGCTGTTCCTCAGCAAAGATGGTCACAATCCGGGCCTGGGATGCGGGATGTCATTTCCCATCACAGGAAATAAGAACAGATCGGCCTCAGTGCAGGGGTCAGGGAGGGAGCCCAGGCCTCCGTATTTAAGCTCTGGTCTGATCACCAACATTCTTCCTTCTCTGGTCATTCTCAGCAAACACTCCCTGTCTTCTGTCAAACACAACACAGCTCCAGAAATAGTCCTTTTGCTTCTTTCTATCTCAACTCCAGAAAATGACAGGCTCCCTGCCTACCTACTAGCATTCCCTCTTACTTGATATCTCTGGTCCAACCATGGCAATGCCCTCTACTAGATATTGTCACCCCAGATTTGCCACCCCCAAGACTCTGCCTCCTGTACCTTAGATTGGTTATAGACCACCAACTCCTGAGCATCGGTGCAAAATAGCCAAGGCAGATAGACATAGTTTTAAATCTTGACTCCAGACCACATTGGCTATGTCACCTGGGCAGGTAATGTGGCCTCTCACTGAATCTTTTCATTTGAAAAACAGACACATATTTACTTCCATCTTGCAGCGATGGTGTAAGCATTGAAGTTGACATATGGAAAGTTTTTGGCAATCATAGGCCTTTAATAAATAACTGGGGACACCACAGATCCTTGTTTTCTAAATCATTGCCCTCTTTGTCTCTTGATCCCACTTTAACTATAGAATTTTAACAACCTAAAAATCTAAGTGGATTTCTGAATCATATTTATTTTTAATTTTTAACAACTATAGAATTTTAACAACCTAAAAATCTAAGTGGATTTCTGAATCATATTTATTTTTAATGAAGCTAAATGTGCCAGCTACATGTTTGATATAAACTGGTATGGAGAAATAACATGAGGAAACCCTCCCCTGAAGTAGATTTACATTGCTCCCAAAGTTGGGAGTTCTATTCATTTGGCTAACATTTTTTGTTCTTTTTTTATCCACTATATTGTCTGGCCTTGTGCTAGCCGATCAGGACACTGAGGCAGTAATACCTGGCTCCTGTCCTCCTAGGCGATGGGCAAGACAGAAAAGTAAGAAAATCATCACAATGTCTGAGCAAGATAGGGATAGAAATTTTGTTTATTGCAACCGAAGAAAGTCCTACAATAATGACTTTGTCATTACCAGCAGCCCTGAATTCACTTGGATTTGTGACAAGGAATCAGCTTGCTATGCCTTTAAGCTAACAGAGGATCACCTGGGCAAAGTTCTGGCTTAGGGACATGTGGGGTTAGTTTCTTCACTCCAGAATTAACACTGGATCCAAGATAAAGCATTGCTCTCCAGATCTTAGTTTCCAGCTGTTTAAGGGGAAAATGTAAATCTGTTTTCTGACAGGTTTAGTAAGAAAATGTTTAATGACAAAGTGTGCTGAGCTCCATAAGCAAAAAATGCCAAGGCTATACAAAATCATTGCCACTTTGCCAAGATCACCAAGATCAGTCATAGCCTTTGAGGCAGAAATATCAGAGACATAAATTAAACCAAAAGATTACTCATGTGGAACTGTAGAATGTGCTAGATTCAGTTTCTGTGTCACCGTAGATCTGCATGCTTGCCTTTGTATCTGGTTTAGATGGTCCTAGCAAAGGTTCTGTGTTCCTACAGTCATGGCTGATCCAGGTTCTTCATGTCATTCACAAGCACTACCTGATGGCACGTCACTTCATTCCTGAGTCAAAGACCTGCCTGCCACCTGCTGCCCAGGGCTTCTCTGTTGCTTTTACAGGATCATTTGGCACCCAAGTGTATGCAACCTAGAAGTGCAGGGTTGTTACTGCCTCCTCGGAGCAAACCTGGATCAATCGTGGATGGGAGCTAGAGATAAAGTCTTCTTTCCTTCTCTCTGTACACAGACCAGTTGGGGATCCAGGAGCTTTATACATCCTCTCCTGCAAAATGTAGCAGCCAGCTTGTCAGGAAGATGTGGCAGCTCCTTAGTGTGCTCCCTGTATTTGTTCTCCCTCTTTTCTTGCTTCATTCTCCTCTATTCTAACTCCTGCTTCCCTGGGATTGCACTTGCCAATAAAGTGTTAATATATGAGCTTTTGCCTCAGGCTAAGTGCTTTTAGGAAACCTGGGCGAAGACAGAGAATATTGTAACTGAAATTGACCTTAGAGGTATTCTAGTCAAAAGTTTCTATTTTATAGAAGAGAACACTGAAGCCCAGTGGGACAGAGGTAAGAATTACTCAGATCATTTTCTCCAGGCCTTAGGTTTAGTATTTTTTAGGTAACATCATACACACACACATATACATATACATGTTTATAAGTATGTACACACACACGTGTGTGCACATACACACAAGTGTATATGTTATATGTATGTAGTATATGTGTATAATCTTATTTATTTGTCTTTCTTCCTTCTTAGAAATAGCAGACAAGATCTACAATCTCTTCAATGGCTATACCAGTGGGAAGGAACAACAGACCGCCTACAACACCCTTCTGGATCTGGGTTCCCCCACCTTACATCGAGTTCTCTATCACTATAACCAACACTATGAAAGTTTTGGAGAATTCACCTGGAGGTGTGAGGATGAATTAGGCCCCAGGTAATCAATAAACTGTATTGTCTATTTTAAAGACTCTGAAATTTCATACCTCTTACCCTGTAACACTGAGTCCATGAAGCAGAGGTTTCCTAGGTGAGCTTAGGTGTTCAGAGAAGTCTCCTGCTTTTAGACAGCTCAGGTCATGCAGATTAATTTTGGATAAGCTCTTTTTAAGTAAGCAAGTCATGAATGCATTTCCTGAACTCTGAAAAAGCCTTTGCTCTTGACCTGTTTTACCCTCATCTTTATCAGGCTGACACAGCATTCCAAATGCTAAAACTGTAAGAGCCAAAAGCTTAGTCTTGTGAAAGACAATTAGGAATTACGTTAAAGAGATTATCCAAAAATATTCATTGTCTATATTATATGCATTATAAAGATCTACTTTGAATTAAATTCCATATTCCCTTGAAAGACAACATGGGATTAGCCAAAGACCCACCTTGACATCTATCTTGGCCAAATTTAGGATGGTAAAGTGTTTGCCAACCTACTCTGGCCAAAGCCTACAACTTTCTAGTACTGAATCACCACTGCTTTATGTTGAACAGACCAGACAGAGTTCTCGGAAGGTGAGGGATGAGAAGGACGTGTGGACATACCACCTCTCTTTTGCTCCGTTTGTCATAACTGTATATCACTGCTTTGAGAAAACAGATTTCTCTGGAAATACAGGAGTTTTCAGACAGTCTTGACAAAGAAGATTTGTCCATGGAATTTTGGTACCTATATGTCCCCAAATTATTTAGAAGTTGATGAAGAAAAAATTGAAATAGGGCCAGGGCTGTGAGAATAGGAAAAAGGAAAAAAAGAAAAAGAAAATGAAGGAAGGGAGAGATGGTGGGGGGAAGGAAATGAAGAAAATCAACACTGTAGAATCCTCTGGCACTAAAAGAACTTTTGCACACCAGCCAGCAGAGCTGAAGTCATCCATGCATCTGACCTCTGGCCACCCTGGAGGGAGACAACCTCAGTGAGCCTGTCGTGACCTGTAATTTTATGAACTTTCCTAGAAGACCATTGTTCAGGACGTTTTATCTCTATTTTCTTACTTTTGAAGGAAGGAAGAAATTTAGAGTTATCTTCCTGAAATAAAATGAGTTCATGTGTAAAGTCAGGCTGGATCTTTCTACATTCTATAAATTATGTCCTGATGTTTGTGAAGAATGATAGTCCTTGGGCAAACAGATGCCACTGCGATGGACCAGGGGGAAATACATCAGGGACATTTGTCTCAGTTTGGGTAAGAAGCAAACCCTGGGCTAAAAAGTAGAAACATTTTAAGAAACGTCCTCTTTGCTCCATGCCCTGTCTTTGCAGCTGACCTTATTATTTCTCACACTAATATCAGCCCCCCTCTGACCCTCTCTCCTCCTCCCCCTCTCTCCTATCTCCTCCTCACTCCCTCCCCTCCTCTCTGCTCCCTCTCCCCTCTCGTTCTCTCTTCCCTCTTTTCTTCTGACATTTATTGGGTGTATATATACACTTCTCTGTTAGGGAACATAAATGTCACAATTTGAATAGCACTAACATCACATGTATCATCTTGATTTCTAAGAGCATTTGGAGGGCTTTTAAAATTTCTCTCTTGTGAGTCAGGAGTCAGAAGGAAATTTGGTTAATGAAGGAAATGAACAGGGGAAGAAATGTGGATCTCAATATAAAATAAGGCAGCTGCTGACTATACATTCTCCTCCCAGGGGGATCTTTTCATGATAATACTGGTCTTTCATGGCTACTTACTTTTTCAAAATTCCATAGTTTCATTAGCCTATGAGAAATAAAGTTTTGCTTTTTAGTGTCATGGATCTCAGGGAGAATCACAGGAAAAGAAAAGTCCTGTGCCTTCAAATACATCAACCCACTTTGGGGTTGTTTGTGAGAATACATAGAAAAGGGTCTGTGGGTGCATACTTCCTGTGAGCAAGCAGAAAGGATTCTCTCTGTTTAGTTAAATCCAGCCCCACTGAAACTCGGGGAGGCCTCCAGATTGAGCTGAGGGTTGAAAATACTTTTAACAACATTGGTTGCACTGTTCCTAAGAAAGAAGAAGGCCCCAGGCTCTGAGATGCTCAAGGGCAGTCCCAAATTATTTTTTTTTTTAAGTGAGCAATGGCAAAAGCAACGAAGACTGTTTCAGCTAATTAAATTCATTCTTCTGGAAGGATGGCCAGGATGCGTTCCGTTAGCCATTTCTTGAAGATGGTGCAGACACTGCTGTACCTCGCTCTTCCTTCCCTCCCCCTTCCTCCACCTCCCAAGAATTTGTCAGCAGCTAATGGCATGCAGTGGGATAGACTAAGAGGAAGGGTCATAAAGTCCCTGTTGATGATGACTTTCGGAAAACCTGCTTGGCCCAACTGCAGAGGCTCATAGGGAAAGTACAGATCATCTGCCTAAGATGCTATTTAGTCGGCAAGCGGAGTGTTTGTTTGATTTCCTCTGACCCACCATTGAGGTTGGAGAAAATCTGTCTGTCCCTCCAATGATCACACACCACTCTTAGCCCCTTGACTTGGCTGCCGAAGCTCACCACCTGCCTTCCAGCTCCACCTCCACCTTCGTCTCAGCATGACCTCTTCGGAACGCAGTGAGATCACCCCTCGGTGAGGCTCATTGCCAGGGCAGAAGGAGAGGAATGAGGTGAATGTGGTCCTTGTTCTTTGAAAGCTCATTCTAAATGGGGTGCAGAAACTCCCAGTTTCTGGAAAGAATTGTTGATTAAAATAGAACAAAGAGATAGTTCCTTGTATGTGAAGTTAGCCTAGAAGTCAATAAATACCACAAGGAGCCTTTTGCAGCTTCACATGAGCTTGTTCAAATAAGAGGTCTTTGAAGAATAAGAAAAACACAGCTTGGCGAGGGGATTCTGCTCCTTCCCTTATTCTAAGTGTTCAGAGTCAAAGCCAGTGAGGGCTGAGAACTGGCTGTCAGGTGGTCCTCAGGTCTGACACCAGCAGTGGATCTCAGGAAGGACAGGGTACACCAGTGAGGTGCTGGCGATAGCCCATCTCCCCAGGCCGTATGCCAGAGGGATCCCTCCTTTCCAGTGTGTGAACTTGGGGCGACCTGGCTCTTCCCCCTCCTTTCTGTCTCCCAGGGATCTGCAGTGACTCAGGCTCCCACTCTCACCTCCCTGTCCCACTCCTGATGGGGAGCTACAGCAATAGCAACGGCTTCCTCGCTCTCGGGGGAGATGGATGAGTGGGCGTGAGCTCAGCTGGAGGTTCATTAGGTGATGCCCACATTTTCCCAAAGAACGACCCTGAGTCAGTGTGAACCGAGGGCATCACTACACTGTAATTATTCTTATTAGCGTTATACCCTCTATAGTTTTATAATTACCTCAATACAGGCCAAACTGGTCAGAGCTGAAATCCCCTTCAGTTCGGTACATTGACTGCTTCTACCGGTTCAGAAGTAGCCTTGAAAATGGAAATATTCAGTCCAGAACATAATTTGTTGCTTAGTGATGATAAATTATTGGCTTTCAAGAAAATGGATTTGATTTGTCTTTTAAGACTGCCTACTCTATGATTTATTTATTTATTTATTTAAATTTTTCTATCATGGTAAAATATGCATTAAATTTACCATTTTAACCATTTTTAAGTGTACAATTCTATGGCATGAAGTTCATTTACGTTGTTGTACAACCTTCACCATTGTCCACCTCCAGAACTTTTTAAATTTCCTCAGTGGTATATCTACTTTTTAAAAAAATGGGGTTAGTGTGCTCAGAAGAGAATGGTGTACTGGAGTCCCCTACCTCTGTTCATGCTCCTGGGGACAGGGCTGATGGAAGTCTGGTGGACGGATAACTAGGGCATGACCTCGAAGCTGGTTTGGAATGAAGCAGGTGGGTAGATGGACAACTGTATGATTTTAAAAAGGCATACATTCCCACGAAAATATTAGTTATTTATTTTCTCTTCTTTATTTTTTCTCACTGCATTTCCTTACTGCATTGTATCTGCTGCTTTTTTGGTGCCTGCCTCACACATAGATCCTATTCATTCATTCATTTATTCATTCATTACTTGATAGACCTGCTGTTCTAAGTGCCAAAGATAGAACAGTGAGCAAAGCAGACCAGGCTCAGCCCTCTGGAAGTTCAGAGTCTCGCACTAATTGTGGCTATTTGCCTTTCCTGGCCTTCTGTTCTTTCTAACATAAGTTTACTCCATCTTTGATCCATAGGAAAGCGGGCCTCATCCTGTCCCAGCTTGGGGACCTCAGCAACTGGTGTAACGGACTCCTTCAGGAACCCAAGATAAGCTTGCAACGCAGCTCACTCAAGTACCTGGGCTGCCGCTACAGCGAGATCAAGCCCTACGGACTTGACTGGTCAGAGCTCAGCCGGGACCTCAGGAAGACCTGTGAGGAGCAAACCCTCAGCATCCCCTACAACAACTACGGGGACAGCAAAGACATCTAGCACTGCAAAGCCAGAGCGTTGCTGCCAAACAGAAGCAGGAGAGAGGAGAGAGACATCTGGGTTGGTTTGTGGATTTTTAATATTTTTTAATGGAACATTGAAACCTCCACAACAACATCTAAACCAGGGAGAAAGTGATTCTTGCTCCCTGTGAAATTTCTTCATGTGACGTTCTTCATCTGCATGGTCAGAACACCTGCCAGCCAGCAGCTCTGTGCAGCGCTGTCTTTCTTTAGAGGATTACTTTGGGGCTTGTTCTGCTGTTAATTTGTTTCATTCATTTTTTCCCCAAGAGGTTCATTAGAATGCTCAGGAGCTTTGTCATGCTTCCCATGAAAGGTCTACCAGGTTGAGGCATCCTGTGCTCACCGGGTTCCTGTGTTCATTGCAATTGGGGACAGAGGTGAGGCCATTAAGTTGTCGCCCCTGCCTCGGGCCCCACTCTCAGGCATTCCGTAGGCAGCATCTCACTCTGGGAGCCTAATCCGTGCTCACAGAGAAAGACAATAAGAAAATCGGGAAGGGTGGCCCCTGTCTATGCCTGGTGGCTTTTCCCCTGGGCTCTCCTATTACTATTTCCACACCTCCAATGTCAACTGTTATAGGCCCCACTGGGCCTCCTGGGCTTTGAGGTTCTCCCCTGCTTTAAGCCAGGACTGGAATTAAATCTCCTTATGATACATTTCTTCCCTTTCCTCTGAACAGCATGATCTTTGACATTCAACAAGATGCCACCTGTCAAATGCACCTTCCGAGAAGTCTACCTGGGAGACTAACAGTACACATTTTAGAAAGAAGTAGAGTGTGTTGTTTAAGAACTGCTCCAGACTATCAATATATAACCCAGTGCCTGGATTCTCTTTAGCCCTTGTGCCTCTCACCCTGGACAGAAAAGGCTTGATTGATGTGTGATCTGGGCCAGGAGGGGTCGGTCAAAACTCCCATGTCAGTGTTTCAGTGAACTAAAGCAATTATTGATCACAAAAAACTTCTGTCCATCCCTCCCTTGCTAAACTTGCTTGATTGTGTGGCTAGTTTCGCAAATCATTTCTCTGAAGACCATCAGAAGGAGGATTATGCCATTGTTACCGCCCATCTAGCTGCCGGGAGTGGCAGAGATTGTGTTTAGACAGCTCCACTGACTGTGGTTAAGGGCTGGGGGTCATTTGTGCCTCATTGCCCACACATGGCATGGGTACCAGTGGTGGCCTGGCTAATGAGAAGCTCTTTCTGAAAGAGCATGTTGAGCTGTGATGATCCTAGCTGTCCCATTCCTCAGAGTCTGAAAGCACTCTTTCAGCTACCCTGCCTCTAACCAGGGCCCTCATGTGGAAATGCATGAGAAAGGACAGGAAGGAGGTGCAGGATCTCTAAGGCCAGTCATTGAGCTATGTTGTTTTGTTTTGTTTTGTTTTGTTTTGTTTTCAAGGTCTTGGAGTTCCAGTCAAGATGGTGGAATAGACGGTCCCCAGCATCACTCTCTCCCACAAGACAACCAATTTACAACTATAAAAATGTAACATCAGCCAAGCTGGGGCCGCCATAGCTCAGGGGAAGAGGAAGAGAGACCTACAGAGTTCATGAAGGCAAGAGAAACCATGATGAGAGTAAGAAAAACTGCTCTGAGCATTTTGGGCCGTGGCTGCTTTAATGCTAAAACTACTGAGTTCATGGAGCAGGAGCCGGCAGAAGCCGCAGCTGTGCCCTTCAGATGGAGTTACTTGGAGGTGGCAGGGGAGAAGAAAGCCTTGGTGGCCCCCAGGACAGCAAGACCATGAATAGGGTTCCCATGGACCCACGCAGGAGCGAGGAGCCAGAACAGCTGAAAAAGAGGAGCCATTCAGAGGCTGGTGAGTCATCACAAGGGACCGGCACAGAGCCCCACCCATGGGAAGTGTTTGGAGCATGGGCAGTGGGGGAGACAGGCCCATGCAGAGAACACTGGGACACAGCAAGGACAGTTAATCCACCCCCCAATCAGCACAGGACCACTCAGAGAAGACTGGTCAGGAATGCAGAATTGCATGGGGTGCAGTTTGATGAAAGATTCAGGCCCAGATCAGAGTTTCTACACAATCCAGGTGCACTTGGTCTCTGGAGAGCTGGAAGTACCTATAAGGTCAACCATTAAACCCTGAGCTGCACAAAAAGCCTTCCCTAGGGAAACAACAGCAAAGTAGCAATTTAGCTCAACTATATAGCTCAAGTGCTGGTCCTCACAGGAAGTCCCCCCATTTTAGAAATAAGCAAAAGATATGTGTCCACCAGGGGACATGAGGTATGGAGCCAGGGATGGGACCCCCACACACAACCACTCACACCACTAGTGCCTTGAGGCCTGTCTGGGGACCCGAGGCATGGAGAAGGGGAACTGACCCCACTCCCACAACTAGGCACGCTGTTCCAGCACCTCAGGGCCCACCTGATGACTCGAGCCATGGAGAAGGGGACCAGACCCCCCTCCCACAACCAGGCACACCATGCCAGCACCTTGGGGCCTGCCCTGGGACCCAAGGTATGGAGCTAGAGACCAGACACTCCCCACAACCACACACACCGCCAGCACCAAGGAGCATGCCAAAACATCACCTCCGTGTGCGTGGCCCACCACAGCCACCACAATAACCACAGCTGCCGCAAAAGCAGCTTGACGCCACAAGCACCATGCAGATGGTCCACCAGCCACTGGAGTGCATTGACACAAGGAGAGTCACTGGCAGAGACAAAGAAAAGAAGAGGATGTCTCTCTCCACAAAGCCCATTTCAGAGTGACAGAGGAAGCATCTGCTCTATGATAATATTGAGGGTCCTGATCACACCTCTCAGCATTGGACAGATCATCTAGGCAACAAATCAACAGAGTAACCATTATTCTTTCAGAGGGAGAGAAGAAATCTAGGGTAATTAGAGAGGGGAAGGGGGAGGGAGACGGGGATGGAGAGAGATTGGACAAGGGGCATAAAGCATAATTACGATTCGTAACTATATAATGCTAGTAATATTGATTTGATCAACATATCTCAATGTTGAACCCCCAAAATATGTATAATTAATTTTGATTCAATAATAATTAAAGCAACAACAACAACAACAACAACNTTGTTTTGTTTTGTTTTGTTTTGTTTTGTTTCCTGAATAGTAATAATGACAGATAACATGTATTGAATGCCTCTTGTGTACCAGGCACTGCTCTAAGCACTTAACATGTCATTGAATTCTCACAGCAATCCCCTGAGGAAAGTGCTATTCTGATCTCTGTTTCAGTGATAAGGAAACTGAGGCAAAGAGAGGTTCCTCAGCTTGCCCCAAATCCCTCATGGGCCACAAGCCTGAGCTACAGTGTGAGTCCAGGTTGTTGGACTCCTAGCACAGGACTTGAACCACCTTGCGATCCTGAGTACTGTTTTCAGTGTTACCTGAGTATACAGCTGCCTGGGCTCTAAGCTCCACGGGGGAACTGCCCAGAGACCTGTCTTTCCCAAGCATCCATGACATGTGCCCACTGTGCAGCGGGAGGGGGAAGAGCCAAAGTGAGCCCTTAACCGTTGCACCTAGGGCGCCCTTTGAGACCACCAGCTCTGCAGCACACGGCCTTCCCACCGGTGGCTGGGAAGGAAGCCTGCAGCAAGGTTGAGAGCACAGGTTGGTCTCCCTCCTCTCTCTGCTTCTTTCTAGAGAAAGATTGAAAGATTTATTTTGTACTCTCTAATGTACCTCTCAGATTCCCTACTTCCAGAGCAAAGGCTAGCAGAAAACTCGGCTGTCCACCTGTGGCCAGTGCAGGGGCCTCAGATAAAGAGCCTCCAGGCTCAGGTGGTTCACCATTGCCGGAGAAGAAGATGTTACGGGCAACTCGGACAAGGCCTATAGCACCTTCTTGCTGCTGCTGTTTTGCCATCCTTTTATTCAAGTCTTTGCAGAAAGTGATGTCTTGACCTTGAGTGAAAGGACGGTGAGCCCACCGATGCCTTCCTGCCCCCGCAGCGGTGAGACAGGAGCTGACGGGCCAGGCGGGCAGGGCAACGGGTGGCATCAGGGTCACTCCTCTGCTCCTTCCTTCTGCTTTCATTTCAGGCACACTATCTTCCTCTCTTCTGTTCTTGTCTTCTGCTCTCCCAAGTCTCACCGCTCCTTTTCATCCCCTCTACCTTTGTCCCTTTCTCTTCCTTTCTGTGACCCTTCATCCTTTGCCTCTTTCTTCCTCATGATTCTCCTCCTCCTTCAGTTCCTCTTGTGTTTTGCTCACTGGAAAATGTGGGTGTGACACACACAGCACACTCACACATGCACACACTACACACACAGCTCCAATGACTGGGCCCACTTACTTTCAAGTTAAAAAGGCCAATATGAATGGGGCAGGGGCTAGACTTAGGATGGTTGTACAAATAACTGGAGGATCTTTTTCCCTGGCTGCAGACACTAACAATCACACCCTGCCGCCATTTCCCAGAGCTTGCCTGGGGAACCCATCCTGGCTAGAAAGGGTGATGGTACTGAGCCAGTATTAAGCATCAAGTTTCCAAGCTGCCAAACAGGTCTTAAGAGGGTTGCTCACATCCAAAAATACTGTCCTAGCTCCAATGTCCCCTTGAGATCTCTGGTGTTTCCTCTTGAATGTACATGAACCACTGTAATAGCATTAGACCTTTAACTGAATGTGCAATCATTTTCCATGGAGTTTGGTCCGTTCATTATTTTTAATTAACTACACTTCTTGGTATTCAAATGTTCTATTAAAAAACTGAGTGTGGGAACAAAAAACACTTTACTACTGTAGAAGGAAGAAAGAATATAATGTGACCATCTTCAGGTATAACAGTGTTGTTTAAAAGAGAATTATTGTACAATTATAAAAAAATGAAATAATCAACTAAATAATAAACAAAGCTGTTAGTAAGTGTTGGCTGTGTGGATGTTACTTTGTATCTTTCAATAATCTGAGTGATCTGATTGGATCCCCCAGAAAATTATTAAGGTTTTAAATGTTACACCTTGAGTTCCAGTCAAGATGGTGGAACAGACAGTCCCAGCGTCACTCTCTCCCACAAATTAACCAATTTACTTCTATGAAAATGTAATATCAGCCAAGCTGGAGCCACTGGAGCTCAGGGGAAGAAGAGGAGAGACCTACAGAGTTCATGAAGGTCGGAGAAACCACAATGAGAAAAAGAAAAAACTGCTCTGAGCATTTTGGCTACAGCCACTTTAAGGCTGGAACTGCTGAGTCCATGGAGCAGGAACCAGCAGAATTACACAGCTGTGCCCTTCAGATGGAGTTACTTGGAGGCAGCAGGGAGAAGAGGGCCTTGGTGGCCCCCAAGACAGTAAGACCACTAATAGGGTTCCTGTGGACCCATGCAGGAGTGAGGAGCCAGAACAGCTGAAAATAGGAGCCACTCAGAGGCCAGTGAGTCATTGCAAGGGACCAGCACATGGCCCATCCCATGGGA